CCATCAATCTAGTTTTAAAGTAACTTTGCTGTACCAGCTGCTGTTAATTGTATTTCTGGTCTTGTTCGTAGACCCATCAATCTAATTTTAAAGTAACTTTGCTGTATCAGGAGTTTTTATTGTATTCCTGGTCTTGTTCACAGACCCATCAATCTAATTTTAAAGTAACTTTGCTGTACCAGGTGTTTTAATTGTATTCCTGGTCTTGTTCGTAGACCCATCAATCTAATTTTAAAGTAACTTTGCTGTACCAGGATCTGCATGTGTTACTTTCTGAACAAAAGGAGGTTGCTAAAAGTAAAAAAAATAGCTGATTTCTTTCTTTGTAGCTAAGCACAAAGCTACATAAAGAGCTATCTGTGCTCTGCCCACCACGGGTATCGAAACCCACTTTCTAGTAGTATAATTCCGTTATACCACTGGGGAGCAAAAAAATAGCGGATTATATTTTTTAAATTAATGATGCTTATGGTGTGATTTTCAATTGAATGGAAAAAAATGAAAAAGAAATATTTTGAAGACATGTTGTAATAGTGTATGGATATCGAGTACAAGTAAACCATGTGTAAAGGCTTAGAAATAGGATTGCCTACTGAAGAAATGAATATATTGTTTGGTTAAACCTGACTATTGTTTACTATATGTCAAATACGGTAAACTTTAACTAAGGTAAAAACAATCTGAACACAATTCAAAATGTGATAATTTTAAAACCCAGGACGAACAAGAATTAGAGTGAAATACATTTTATAGATCCTTGAAGGGGTGTCGGAAATATAATTACATTATAACAACTCATAAAGGAGAGTCACAGCAAAATTAGTTTTAACGGGTCTGCGAACAAAACCAGGAATATAATTAAAAACAACTGGTACAGCAAAGTTACTTTAAAATTAGATTTGATGGGTCTACGAACAAGACCAGGAATACAATAAAAACACCTGGTACAGCAAAGTTACTTTAAAATTAGATTGATGGGTTTGTGAACAAAACCAGGAATACAATAAAAAACTTGGATCAGAAGAGTTTCAAGGATATTGCATTGATCTCATCAATGATATCAAAAAGATTTTACAGTTTGAATTCGAAATCTCCGAATGCCCCGACAAGATGTTTGGTATTATGAATGCGACTAGTGGATGGAATGGGATGATTCAAGAACTAATAGAAAAGGTGAGTGCTCACTTACTGTGTTTTATGGAAATATTACCAAAATATATTTTTAGTTAGAAATGCACCCAAAAGATATAGATAGGTAATTTTTTAAATTCGTTAGTATTTTCATTTGATTTTTTTTAAAGGAAAATATTTTTGTTCTGTATGTCTTGGTCTCCTGTAAAATTCAGTTTTATTATCTACTTTAATGTTTTCTATAAACATAAAAATATTTATGTATCTACCTGATTCTAGTCATTGCTTTTACAGAGAGCCGACATTGCTTTGGCACCATTATCGGTGATGGCTGAACGAGAAACTGTTGTAGATTTCACAGTTCCATTTTATGACCTTGTGGGCATATCCATTCTTATGAAGAAACCACAGGTTCCGTCTTCCATTTTCAAATTCTTGACCGTCCTGGAAACTAATGTATGGGCGTCTATTATTGGCGCTTATTTTTTTACGAGGTGAGACTAATGTACGAACGTCCATTATTGGCGCTTATTTCTTTACTAGCGTATAACCCATCAAAAATGACGGGGAAAGTACTACCACCCCACCCCATAGTATACCATAACCTCACATTTCATAGCTAAGTGAAATACATAAATTTTATGAAATCAAACTTGACCAACAAAGAGGCAGAAAAGTGCAGTCGAGGCAGTCAAGTGTCGGTAAATTCCCCGTGAGCCAATCAAAATTAAAATCGTTTATGAAATGAAGTCGTGGCGTATTCATAGAATAATTATTGGTACAAAGTTATATCAATAACTTTTAATACATAAAAAAGCCAGTGTGTTTTGGTTAAATTACGTTCCAACAATGGCTTTTTATGGCATGTCGCTTAGCAACAAAAGCATAACCTAATATTATTGTTAGTCTATGTACTGAGAGTATAAACTGAAATGTATAGACAACAAAACTGGAAATGTATTTGCTATTTCTCAATTTAGAGTCTCCTTTGATTAAATAGATTTTTTCTATATTAAAAACGTTGGTGATAAAACAGAAAATAGGTTAATTTAGAAACGATCTATGTTTCGAATTGAATCGATATTTTTACATTCATGATAAATTTGATGCACTTGGCTCTAGGCAAGGTGATCCCACCTTACATTAGACTTGTTATATCAACACTCACTGCACTTATAAGGTTTCAAGGCACCACCTCACGGCCCCCTTGCACCCCCGTCACTAAAAGGTGACTCACTATGAGGTGAGTTTAAAGTAAGAATCTCCATTATTGACACTTACTCTTTACGAATTGAGTTTTAATGTTATTAAGAATATGAAACATATGTGATAATAATTGAAACAAACTGAATAACAAAATTAGTATTTGTTGATTCATGGTTAGTTTAAACAAATTATCCTGAGCAAGGAAGAAAAACATTTGATGGTTTGTTGTCTCACCCTTCTTTGGTTCTTCTTCACCGCTCCTCCTTACTCCTACACGACTACCGTCAATCCCAGGAGCAATTATACGTCGTCCTTGGTATTACACTTACAACGAACTTCGCATGCCGAACTCCTTCTCTCAGTTTTGTTTATTGTTTCGTCAGTGTCAATCCCCTTCCGATCCCACAGCTCCTGCTAACACACATTTGAAAGAAAATGCTTTTGCTATCTATTTTGAGTCGAAGTTTCGTCCTCCTCTGCCCCACTCGCTGGACTTTGATAATCGCGCTGAAATCCTCCGCGGGTCAGACCCTTCTTTGCAAGCTTTCAGCTCTTCCCTCATCCATGTTCTTGAGAGTTCTTCAATGCTGGTATCTATTACAGCTTCTGATATCCACCTTGCTCTATATCATCTTCGCAACTCTGTTCCTAGCAAGATAGTCTTACCTATTTCCATCTCTCCTACACAAAATTACAGTTGCCCAGATAGTATTATCTATTCCCATCTCTTCTATACACCATTACAGTTGCCCAGATAGTCTTACCTATTCCCATTTACCATACACACCAGTACAGTTGCCCGGATTGTCTTACCTATTCCCATCTCTCATATACACCTGTACAGTTTCCCAGATAGTCTTATCTATCCCCATCTCTCCTACACATAATTACAGTTTCCCAGATAGTTTCACCTATTCACATCTCTCCTACACACCAGTACAGTTGCCCAGATAGTATTACCTGTTCCCATCTCTCTTATACACCAGGACAGCTGCCCGGATAGTTTTACCTATTTCCATCTCTCCTACACATAATTACAGTTGCCCAGATATTCTTACCTATTTTCATCTCTCCTATACACCAGTACAGTTGCCAAGATAGTCTTACCTATTTCCGTCTCTCCTACAAACCAGTACAGTTGCCCAGATAGTCTTACCTATTCCCATCTCTCTCACACACTTGTACTATTTGCGTTGTTTTGCACATTTCTTTTATGTTACTGTTTGGAATTTTTCTACTTTTCTTAAAGCCATCGAAGTCACCTGTTCATCTCTCTCCCTATCGCCCCATCAGTTAGTGTCCTAAGCGAGACCCTTGAACGTATCTTTATTCGACACCTGCACTCTTTTATTGACGCCCATCAGTTGCTCTTGTTTATACAGGCGGGTTTCCGATATCTTTCGTTGCTGCTGATCAGCTCTTTAAGCTCTCTTTTCTAATTACGAATCATTTAAACACTTCCAAACTTCCTTGTGTAGACTTGTTTGCTATATTTTCCCCTTTTTTCCAGGATAATCAGACTGTTATTCACAATATAAGTACTCGTTCTCGTCCACTCTCTATCGGTGCTGGTGTTCCATAGGCATCCGTTATTTAAACTCTTCTGTACATCTTGTTTCTTACTTATATGCCAGTCCTTCGGCCTCCAGTCTATCTCCTACAATATGCCAATAACTCAACTCTATTCGCCCTTTGTTTCATGATGATCACACTTAACACCGTTCTTCTACTGGAGGTTCACAATCTAATCTGAAAACACCAAAGCTATTGTCTTTGGCCAAACTCGACGTATATTTCGCCCATGCCATAACTGTCATCTCTTGAATGTCAGTATTTGGACCATTTCCATTACCCAATCAAATACACTGATGATAGTTTGATCATGATCTTACTTAGAATACCCACCTGGACGTCCTACAGAAAAAGGGTGCCGTTTGCATTAATTTACTGCATGGCCTGCGTGGTTCATCATAGGGCTTGAATCATCAACTTCATTTATTTTCCTATAAAACTTTTGTTTGTACACTTATGATTACATAGCTGAGATCCCTCCACCATCTTCATTTGCTTGTCCACTTACGGCTATGTAGCTTGGATCACTCCAACATCTTCCTTTATCTGTCCACTTACTGTCACGTCACTGGGATCTTTCCACCATCTTCATTTGCTTGTCCACTTACGGCTATGTAGCTTGGATCACTGCAACATCTTACTTTATCTGTCCACTTACTGTCACGTCACTTGAATCTCTCCACCATCTTCTTTTGTCTGTACACTTATGGTCATGTAGCTTGGATCTCTGCACGATCTTCTTTTGTCTGTCTCTGCCTCACATTGCTTGGATCTCTGCACCATCCTCCTGTGTCTGTCCCTGTCTCACTTATGGTCAAGTAGCTTGGATCTCTCCACCATGTTACTTTGTCTATCCACTTATGGTCACGTAGCTGGGATCACTGCACCATCTTTCTTTGTCAGTCCACTTTCGGTCATTTACTTGGACCTGTGCACCATCTTCATTAGTCTGTTTCTGTTTCATGTAGCTGGGATCTCTTCACCACCTTCATTTGTTTGTCCCTGCCTCACGTCGCTTGAATCTCTCCACCATCTTTATTAGTCTGTCTCTGCTTCATGTAGCTGAGATTTCTCCACCGTCTTCTTTTGTCTGTCCACTTACAGTCACGTCGTTTGATTCTCCTCACCATTTTCCTTATACCACCACTAGGAAATTTTGTAACGTCATGCTTGATACTCAGCTTCTCAGCTACGTCTTCCCAGAAATACATACGAATTATACGCTCTTGTTTATTTTTCGCGACTCCTTCTGCATTTATGTGCTCTTTGTGTCTGGTTTGTTGAACTCTGCTTTGAGTACCAGAACCATATATTTCATGAAATACTCTCCTATTCTTTCAATACCCCGACTGATCACCTCTTGAACCTCTACATCATGTCGTTGCCACCAGTTCATCCTAACTACAATGCTGCACCAATCCCTGATCCTCCATCAAACATCCATCTCTGATTCTGCAAATGGTGTTGGACTGTAAGATTGTTCTTCATATTACTTCTATCGCTTATCCACATAATATGCTTTTTCTGGTTCCTGCTAGTTCTTGATGCTACACCCATCTTTCTGTTGTTCACAGTACTTCATAGCTACTTCATATTTGTCTGAATCTATTATCGATCAGTTGTTCCTTTCAAGATCCATACCTTCATTCATCTCCTGGCCAAAGAGAGGGCGTAACCCTGTAATACCTCACCAGCATTTATTGGCTGGAGTGAAATGGTATTAAAAAAGAAAAAAATACAGGATGATTACTTTAGTTATGAACGTCACAAATAATCAGTAATCTTGATTTGATGGTTTCTTTAATCACAAACATCATAAGTAAACGTATTAGATCATTATTTCGAACTAAATTGTTTCAATAGTTATTACCTCACAAGTAAATGTGTTAAATCACTATTCCAGATTTAATTGTTTCTATAGTTATTATATCACAAGTAAACATATTTCATCATTAATAATTGTGTAACTTACACAACATTATAATTAGCTAACTAGTTTAGCATATACTCCTTTCTGAGGACCTTTGGTAGAGTGAACCAGTAGAATCATACACCTGTCTTTAATGGTGTATTTCTATTTTATTTTTTTTCTGTTTTGCAGCATTTGATGATAAGAATAAGAGAATTATTCTTTTACCTCTAATTGCGTTTCTTACAATTTCTTGGGTTATTTGATAAACAGGAGCAACAAATTCAATAAAGACATCTATATGCTTATCATTTCCTAAACGTATAGCTCATTTCAATAACGTTTTAATACCTCGATCTGATGATAGCTAACATAGCTCGAAAGTGTAGTACTTCACTGATCAAGGAAATAATTATTATTTTCATGAGATTTTTAGCATATATAATCCTTTATTTTGTAGACTATTCTTATTCATTTATATATTTCTCTGACCTTTGACTAATTCTGCTTTTGTTCTTAATTTTTCTGCTACGAAAATTAACATTAATGTTAGCTTTATTTTTTTGTAATTTGAACTAAAACTGAAAATATTTTAAACAGCCCATCATTTGACTAATTATATTTTTTCTATTTACTTTCTTGGAAACTTAGGTAAATGTTTCTTGATTTTCTTTAGTTTCCTAATGTACGCTTATGAGTGCTTCAGCCCTTATAGTAACCGAAATAACAACCAGAATTCACGTGAGTTCAACTTGAAGGAGTGTTTATGGTTTTGTATCACATCCCTTACTCCACAGGGTAAGTACTGTAGATTATTTGTCCCGGATATTCACGCAAAGCTACACAAAGGTTCTTTGTGCTAGCCATCTCTAATTTTAAACTGATAGACTACAGGGATCGAAGTCAGCTAGTCAAAACACCCGCCACCAACTCTTTGGCTACTGTTATGGAACAGTTGGTTTAGACCATCAATCTCATAACGCACCTTATAGCCCAAAAGTGCGGAATACAATTTTGCTACAATGGAACACGAGCGTTGACCCGTCGTATTCATAGTCGTATATGCTAACATTAGGCCAAGTCCGACTCAAATGAGTTAAGAAATACTTTAGCCACTCCTAAGAATTACTTAACTGAGGTTTTGATATATCCCCTTTGTAATCTAATACATACTGATTTTCAAGGCAGTTTAAGTATAATTTTATTATAGAGCATTTGGACTAACCTTTTTTAAGTTTCGTAGTCTCTGCAGATACATTCGTGATATAACAAGGAATTTCTTTAACATCAACTTTAAATGTTTTGTTGTAAAATTAGCTAGAAAAAATCATACTTGCGTAATCTTTTTACATATTAATTACCATTAGTACGTTGAAAATGTCTTTGCAATCAGATTGGTGTATATTACACAAGGCTTATAATTCAGTTGTATTAAAGACTTTAGAAACTACAGAAAGGAATGTAAATTAAATTAAAATGAATACTTTAGGTTCTATAAGCGCCAGGGAAACACTTTTGATTTGCAAATGTAGAAAAGTAGAGGTATTTTTCAAAATGTCACCGAGTTCTTTATTTACTAAAAAATAAAACCAACCGTTTTCTTGTATTCGTCATTGATAAGTCTTTCATTAACTGAAAAGTACCCGGAAACAAATAGCTGAATTTCTCAGCAATTGCGTTCTTTAATTATATTATTGTCAAAAATCGCCATTAAGGTAGAATATGTCATTTTATTTCCGTACGTGAAGAAAAAAATTATCAATGTGAGGTATTGATTTATTGCAGAAACTAATTACATTGTTATTATGCTGCAAGACAATCACGTAATAGGAGTACGTGCAACATTGAAAGTGGTACTTATTCCTTTTTGTTTGTTTCTTTTTGAATTTCGCGCAAAGCTACATGAGGGCTATCTGCGCG